TTTCAAAGTGAGCCTAAAGAGAAGTGTCCAGTCACTGAAGCCCAAGCTCTCTCTGCTGGAATACAGAGCAGCCGAATAATGGATGCTTCTGTCATGAGATACGGTGAAACTCTATGATGCTGTAGGTGAGAGAGACTCCAAGTGGGTCTGTAAATAATGCCTGCCACTTGAAAATAGGTCTCTGGAAACTGCCCCCTGTGCTCTTGTTGCTGGAGTTGGGTAGAAGTTTTGTCTGTGTAGTTACATTAGTGTATAAGTGTTTTAGTATTATGTGGTAGGGAGCGTGAAAGCAATATGCACGATTAAGTTTTACAGAATATTATTATAACAAAAGATACATGATATTTTTGTAGGGCGATGTTAAGTTGTAAGACGTTAGTAATCCTGGCTGGAAAAGCAACAGTACAGTTGACACAAATGACTATATTTAAATTAGGTAGTGAGTGAGTATACCAAGACATAAAATATATTTTGTTATACACCATAAAGTAAAAGATTACAAGGTGAGGTGAAAGCAGTATATATGCTTTAACAGAAGCCAGACGTAGAAATTCACATGGGCTGTAAACCCTCTAATATAGTGTGATGTTCACGATCGGCCTGTGGAGGAACACTGCAATGTAAATTGCTTATAAGTCTGTTGTGCAATCAGTTGTGATGCTTCGTTTCAAAGTGTAAGAACAGTCATTGAAAGAGAAAGTAAAGCTACTATCTATTGTGTGAGTTGGCCAAGTTTATTCAGGATATACATTGTAACAAAATATTTATGAATGAAATAAAAAAAAACAACTTTATTTTATTAGGGTAAAAATATGCCTTCACAGTAATTAACTGACAATACTACTAACTATAATGACCAGGAATATTATTAAGGATGTCTACTCTAACAATATTTGCATCTTATATTAACATTTGGACCATCTTAACTACAAGCTGTTCAAATAAAATCCAGCCGTATTAAATGTTTTTTTGTGTTACTATATCTAAAACTACAAATTGTGGAAACAAAAACAGAATTATGGGATATTTTTATCATAACAAGAGACTTCCACATCTTCAAGGTTTATAAGGAAGCATAAAGACTGCATTAAGAGCTGCTGACTCCATCTGTTTGGGTACCCCTATTTTTAGACTTCTATTAAATGCTTTTTATCTTTTGTTCAAACATCAGACGAGACTGGTCATAATTTATTTTACCATGCACGGTAAATGATTTCACTAAATAGTCTGATATCAACTTTTAGAGAGTAAAATCCAGTGTAGACACTCCTCGAAGCCGTGGCAGGGTGAAGAAACTGAGCCCGAGTGTGAAGTACACTAAATCACTGAAGAGTTTGGGGAGTATGGGCCTCCGCTGAGAATTAGCCACTGATAAGGTAGATGAGAAGTTGTGTTTTTTTTTCCTTCAGGTTTCTGAGAGCTGCACATTCCTCTCAGTCCTATGGAGTGTATCGCTCATAAGGACACACTATAACCTCTTAGAAAGTGGGATGACATAGCCCTGACCAAAGTAGACCGAGGGCAGACCAAAGACCTGACATGCACTCGTCCTGCTCTCTGACTCATGCTTAGTCGCTCACCACCCACCAACACACAGTGAAACCTCAGTCCCAATGCCAGGTTTTGTCACTGGGCAGAGAAGCGGCTGGCTACAGTAAAAGCATGACGTGATGCCCCTTCCTCTATGCTCCCCCAGCCTGTGCAGCAACAGAGGGGTAAAAATATCCCACCAGTAAGTTCAGACAACCAGCTCATAAATTAACACTAAAACTCCTACAGACAACAGTGGGCCAGTCGCTGAGAGATTTAAACCACTCAGGTTGCCACTGACCACAGCTCTGGGATCAGCTTACAAAACCCTTTTCCTAAATTTACCCATTAGGAGGTGATGAATAAGAACGGGCTGTAGATCGGTTTTCACCTAAGTAACTATTTATCTGTACACTAACATAGTGAACTATTTTTCAAAATGGCTCTGGGGTGCTTTGTTCCAAGAAATGTTATGAGGTGAGATGTAGGCTATTAGGCCTAAATTGGGAATTGTGTATAACAGAAAAGGTCTGTTCTTAATTTTACGAAGCTTGCACAGAAAATATAAAGTATAGGTTTAGGCTCGGCTATTCACTCGTATCTTATTAAGGTTTGCCCGTAATGAAGCGCAATCTCTCGTCGCTCCCAAGTAGAAACACAATGTTCCAGCAAACTGCTTGACTGGGTCAAAAAAAAAAAGGAAAGAAGAAAAAAAAAACAACAGGAGAGAAGAGTGATGATCCCCTCTAAAGAAACTCAACTCTGTAATGGACGGACAGGGATTACAGACGTTAAAACCTCCTCCATCTGTAATTCACTGTCACCCTGCCATCATCTCTGAATCACTGATCCATTTTGCAAGTGTGCGAGACCTTGCTAAAAGCATCACTGTTGCACCCATTTGTGTTTGTAGTGGTGGTGGTGGGGGGGGGAGAGAAAAGGGGAGGAAAAAAAAGCATGCAGAAAAGACAAGTTAACAGCTCGCTGTGCTGTTTCAAAGCACTCTCTGTCCTGTAACAACCACCTAGCTAGTTTCTCACACAGGGAATGGGACACACTGATCAAATAGGATTTTAATGAACATCAGCAGTTGGGAGCCTGAGGAATAGACGCTATGATGGCTTAAAGCTACTGACATCTAGGTTGGGTTGGATTTTCATCATCAAAAGAAACACACAAAAAAAAAAAAAAGGAAAAAGAAAAAACATCCTTTGCTGCCCGTGCTTCTCACCACAGACAACGCAGACTGCGGGAATCGGAAGTGCACGCTGTCCGTTCGTCACAAGGGAGAGAGCGCAAATGAGAAAGCAATTGGCTTGACAAGCGCCATGGCTAGACCACGATCATATCACACGTAACCCCAATATTATCCTCAGCAAACAGGATAAGAAAAAAAAAAGATGGTTCTTCTCTGCATAGGCTCTTCCTCTAGCGAGCCCTTCTCACGGTGGGCAGGAGAGTAAATAAGGATGTATCAATAATAGCACAGGTGAATGTTCCTGAGCAGTTCTGCGCAGCACCACACACACACGACACACACACACACACACACACACACACACACACACAAAGGCTCCGGCACTGATTTCCTATCTGCAGGACAGGCCTGCAAAACCGCCAGGCTTTTTGCACACGGCCTCAGATTCACTGTCCTGACTAATTCGCTCCTGCTGAATAGGGGGCCCTTTGCATAGATTACCCAGCGGGCCTTATCACAAACTTATGCGCATGCCATTTTTTCATGTCCTGGCCTGCCTGGCAGCGTGCCTTCACTGTCCCGTGCTTGGCCCAGTCAAATCTACGAAAAAGACTGATCTCAGACAAATTCTCACACACACACAAGACACACACACACACACACATCCAGTTCTTCTAAACCAGGGCCGGAGAGAGGTGGGGGTGCAAAGCAGCGGTGAAGGCCAGGGAAGAGAGAGGCAAGAAAAAAAAAAAAATTAAAATAAGGAGCTGGGAGGGGGGAGGTGAGGGAGAGAAAGATTGGGGGGTGGAAGGCATCGAAGGGGGTGGGAGATTAGATAGTGAGGCAAAGGGAAAAGACCAAAGCCAGTCTCAATTTTTTTTTTTTTTTTTTTTACATAATGCATGAACAAGGGGGCAAGAGTAGGAGGACCAAACGGGATCAAATAAATAGGAGAAGTGAAGCCTTGATGATGTGGCATAAGTGCGACACAAAGCCCGCTGGGAAGACTTGTTCACTGTCCTTTTGTCTATCCAGTCATAGGGGCATCATGACCTAAATAAAAGTTTAAATCCCAAGCCTGTGCAATTCACAAAATAATGTATGAACAATTGAAAGGCTAGCCTACATAATGCAATCTTATGTTAATGACGACGGCGACTGGGGCTGCTAATATTCATAAATTGTGATTTGAAATTCAGCAATGCACGTTAAATGCCAGTGGAAAACACAACAGTGCCATTGTCTACATGTCTTGTGATAGGTCAAACACGGCTCTAATATACACACACAGGCAATATTCACACTCACACACACACACAGTGAATAGGCCCAATATTTCCCCCCCTCTTATCCTTTTACTGTGCCATTGATCTCCTCCCGTGCACGCCGAGATTAGTGGCATTTCTGGAGTTCATCACAATCAACAAGGTCATGATCTTTTTCACATACATGTATATATTTCTACTACCATTTTATATTAAACTGCACCGCGTCCACAAACACTGTCCCCGTCCCGTCCACTTTCACAGACGTGGCAAATGTCTGTAAAAAAAAAAAAAAAAAACCGCTCACTGGTGCTTATAATTCGCCGTCAGGGGGAAACCGAAAAAAAAAAAAAAAAAACCGGCCGAGTTGATCAACCATAAAGCACGAAGACGACTTCGGTATAAAACTGCTCCAAACCCCGGTTCCCCCGTTAGCCGATAAGGCTGCTAATGTTTTCATCCGCCTCCAAATAAAACTTACCGATTATTTGACAGCTAAAAGCGGAGAAAAACACACTAGCAACGCGGTTGTTGTGTGTCTGAGCTGCCCGTCTCAGCGCTCGGTGTCACCACAGCGCCACCGTATAATGAGTCGCACTTATTTTTTTTCCCCCTAAATTATCCAACCTTACAGCGGCTACAGCGTCGGGCTAACTACGGCTACTCGCTCCGGTAAAAGTTGAACAACAACACGCAATAAAACACAAGCTATCCCGAAAGCTCTCCGCCAAAAGCCCCGCTGTTTTGTTTTTATTTCGGCGCATCCCCGCGGCGTCGCCCCGGCTTGCCCAGTTGCAGTGTCCGATCGATGTTGAATTGAACAAAGAGGATCAATTTCTGATCAGCGAGAGAGCCACTTTCATCAATGTGAGGAAGAGGTCTTGAATTCTCTTCCGAAACACCTACGAGACGGCGGCCGGGGAAAAAACACGAAACACGGCGGCCGAAAGAGACGAGGCAGCCGAAGCGAATGGAGGGCAGGCGATTTAAAGAGAGGTTGAACTGACCTGTAGTTGTTGTAAGTCAAAGCGCTTCCAATATTGAAACATCGATCCTGCATTGGCCGCCATCTTGAGACATATTGAGACAGGAATGAGATGCTGATAGAGAGCGCGGGGGTTGGAGTTCAGTGGAGAGGACCGGGCGGCCGCAACACCCGGACCGGACCACTCCCAGCGCCCAGCCCAGGTAACAGCCGGAGTACGGACCGGAGTCAGCGCACAGGCGTGTTGCCTTAATAACGCCATTATAATTGCTTAAATAGCTTTTTATCAACATTCAGATATTACAGGTAAATAACCGAACTGGCGTTAAATTACTCTTTTATTTTTCTTATCACGTTGACACACACGCACGGAAATCGTGAGCGCCCGATTGTGTCCGTGTTTTTTAATGTTGTTTGCTTTGTGTGATCTTTTTTTTTTTTATGTATTATGGAGAGCAAAGATCACACAAAAAATATAATGCCAGGAGGCTCTGCTTGGAAGCCATATCTAAAATATCTAAATAAATAAATCCCACCAGGGGTGCATTCAGGAACCGGTGTTTCCTCTGAGCTGTGCAGGGACTGAGCAAGAGGATGGTGTGGACCCACATATACTAATTTATTTCATCAATAATCATTGCTCCTCCAAAAATCAGCATGACTGTCAGATTTAGGAATAAAAAGTCGATATGTGGGAAGAATTGATTTATTTATTTCCCCCCCATGAACCTATTGGATGTTGCCAAACTCATTCTCCTTTTTGAAAGTGCAATTTTACCCCATTTCTGTTTAAACTGCAAACATTTAATACATGAAACAAAACTAACATTTATTTTACTGATCCAGGTGAAAGGCTTTTGTTTTGGTTCATTATGGACGTTCATGAAGGACAATCCCAAAAAATAAATCAATAAAAGGTAAATATATTTAAACCAAATGTAATTAATTAGGATGTTATTTGTTGAGAATAGAATCCGGGCTAAACGTGTATGTCTGAATAGTTAAAACAAAGCATTCAGCTCTAATCAATATTGGAAATTAACCACAATAATTTTAGTTTCATGATACATGTATTTTTTATTGAAAGGGTGGATCTAGTGTTCACAGTCAGCATATGCAAGGAAGCAGGACTGCTGTGGACCTGCTGAATTTGGCCATTTAAGAATGGGTAAAAGATGGAGTGGACTTGGCACAAGATAGATTCATATGATTTTCTCAATGTACAGTAATATGAATAAGAAAGTAAGTGAGATATTCTCATTCACTTGCCATTAGTTATTTAAATAAGATGTTTTTAATCCAGTCAGATCACTGCGACAGCAAGGCAGCCCAGTGGTTAGACTGTCAATGTGCATACATATCTGTTGTTGAAGTGACCTTGAGCAACACTCCTGAAGGCGTCACTCCTGCTGACCATGTCCTCTGACCCCCCTACAGCTTGTGGATATGCAAAGAATGTCTAATTACACTGTATATATGGAGTGCCTTAAATTCCTTGTGTCAAACTGTGCACCTTAAAAACACCATCACGCCTCAGCTTCAGCCTCCAATTGCTCTGCACACCAAAGCCGGATCCGAGTTCCTCAGGTTTATCAGGGTAACACATCTGTTGTACACGTCGCGTTCATTTTTAGCTTTTTGTGGGTTCCAAAATGTGACTCGTCGAGTGACTTTTGAGGGCTGGAAAATCCACGCCTGCATTCACACTTAGTAAGTTGTTATTTTTATTTTTTTCTTGAATGCTCAGAGCCCCAGCAGCCTTTTACAAAAATATTTAGTTTTATTTTTTTTTCTCCCCAATCATTTTCATTTCTTTACAGCCATTGCACTTTAATTGCATTCACCAAAAATAACACAAGAATTTGCCATAGATAATAACGCCTCTTTCACTGCAAGTGTGTGGATACAAAGGTAGGCATTTTTGTGCTTTGAATTAGCTCAACTTTCAGGCCATTACTTGATTTGATTTGAAGCTGTTTGTGTGTCCCCCTTCTACAGTATGAATGGTGCTCAGTGCTCTCTACTGATATGTAGTCTCAATAGCTTTGCCTTATTTTATACTTCATTTATGGACATAATACAGTGAATTAAAGACTGGCTTTAGTTTGGGCCTGACACCTGGTCACATGCTTTTAATAAAATGTACTGAATTACACTGTATACAACAAATAACAACCACTGGTTAAAGCATTTTACTGTGATAAAAGCAGCATGATTCAGGTCGCTATCTGTGTCAGTTACTAATTCTTTTTTAAACATGAGCAACTGTCTGCATTATGACGTACATAATTATTACTTTTTAAGACAAAAATACTGCATATGAAGCGATAGATCCTGTGTTTAATCCTGTCATTTTGTTCCCTTTCCGCCATGTTAATCAGTGTTTCCTTGGCTTGGCCTGCATGACTTGTGATGCTACCTATCATTAAGCCAAACCAGAAATACAGGTCTGAGATAATCCGTACAGGTTCAGTAGCTCTGCAGTGTGTCCGTGTGTTTGTATAGTTTTCTCTCACTCTCACACAAAGAAAACACAGCTAAAAGGATCATGATACATTGTTGTGCCACTGATATTACTATGAAACAGTCAACAATATCTTGTCAATAAGGAGAAGTGGAAGTAGCTCCAAAAGGCGTCGTAATTGTATTGGGAAATGTTCTATAATTATTGAACACTGTTGACTTTTTACTTTGGATATTAAACGCAACGGTTTAATGTTTCAAATAACGTAAGGTGATACTTTGTTATGTCATTTATTGTGTCAACATGCACATCCAGCAGAAATACTGTAGCAGCGGTGTTAGACATGAACATTACAACCATATAACATTACTTTGCAAACAAATAACCTTTACAATATTTCTTCCCTCCCTAAAAGTTTTTAATACTCAGCCATTCAAAGGATGCCATGAAGGACATTTTACTGAAACAAAAAAAAGAAAGAAATGCAGCTCTTGAATCATCACGCACTGAAAAAGAAAACATGAAATGGACTTCATCTTAGCTCTCACATAAAACACATAACAACAGAATCATGTTTAATCTCTCTAATTTCTGCTTCACGCATGACTCTACCAATTAATTTCTGTACACAGTCCCTCCACATTTAATGCAAGAATGTATCCGGTAAATTAAGTAATATCACCTTAATGCAAACGTTGCCTTTAACATTACAAATCAGTCCATTTTGCACTGCCAGACGCTCCTCTCAGACTCTCTGAATTTCGGGACACAGTATCTCCATAAGGATTTGATTGCAGCTTCATAGACTCTGGATTACTTTGAAGCAGTAGGGGGTACACAGTGTAAGTCGGAACAAGCAAGAGTCTGAGTTATCAATCCACCTACAAATTATCGTGTTCCTGCTACAGAGGCTCATGCATGCCTGACATGAATGACATGAGAGGAGTCTTTTTTATTACACTCTATGGTAAAATTAGAGAGGATGAAATAAATTGTTCCTGACAAGGACAGCAATAGGAACATGTTGGAGCCCACACATTTTAGCCTTTAAAAATCCTCATCAGTTCATGTACATTTGGTTTAAAGTTTAAATATACAGAAATAACCACACATTCTTTGTGTCAGTGCCATTATACAACTAGATCTTATACCCCGACAGAGCTACAGGGTATAAAATAAAACAGCCTTTCTGTCCTTTAGCTTTCCCACTATTTCTCTGTTTGTGTCCCTTTTCCTCCTGCTCATTGACTCTGCCTGCAAGGTGCTTTTAGCGGGCCTTGTGTGGCCGGGTTGGAGATGGATGTGTGGCCCTTGGGAGCCGCAGGCAGAGAGCAACACTGATCATGTCAGACAGGCTGGGGAGGCTGCATAAGATCATCATCACCCAGCAGTGGAGTGAATCGCCGCAGTGGCACTTTCACACAACCTCTGACCTTTGTGGTAACCTCTGAGGTCATGATCAAGGTCAGGGGTCAGCGAGGGCCTCTGTGATCAGGGAGCTCACAAGCCCCTCCTGCCTGTTTCCTCCTCTTTTTCTCTCTACGTTTTTTCCCTTCGTTTTTTTCCCCCTTGCTCTTGTCCCTCATCTTCTATCTGTTTGTCTATCGCTCACACTCTCCTTCACCGGGCAGGACCAATTGAGACATCCCATCCCCTGGGAGTGCAAAAAGGAAAGCAAGAGAAAATCAATAGGGAAGATGAGTGAAGACCTGGGGGTCCCATCAAAAACTGAATGCTTCTCTCTGTGCTGGTATGATTCACACACACACAAAAGCACGTACAGATAGACAGTGGTATTACTTTTGACAAACAGGAAGATAGAAGTAAACATGGGCTTGGAAACAGTACAAAACTAGAGACAAAGATGTGTAATGTCTACGAAATATGTTGTTTTCTTGTGCATTCCACTTACATTGTCCATATAAAGTGACCTGAGAAGCCCTTGTGTCAGTTTTTCCATCCTCCCGGCATGTACACATGCTGCAGTGATGTTTGAAAAAGAGGAAGATGTAATATTGATCCCTCCATGAAGATTTTTCAAGGTCTGCAACAGCACACGAAAGAGCTTGATGACAAAAGAAAGTTCTTTTTCGAGCAAGAGAGAAGAGTAAAGATGAAGCAAACATAAATGCCAAGCTTTGTGTATCACCCTGGTTGTAATTTGAGCTGAACAAAATGTCACCATATCGGCAATCAGAGTAACTTTAATTATAGCACAATTCCAGCAACATTTGCATGGTTGTGTGCTGCCTAGAAAGGAAGAAAAAAAGGACTAAACAAGAGAGAGCTGAAGGAAGACAAACAAAACCCATTCCTATGTGTCATTTCCTGACCTCGGCCACCTCTGCTATTTCTGAGGAAAGACATACATGTGTTTATAATGTTGAGCCTCACCATGTATCCATAACTTATGAGTTTGCCGTGCTTCTTCCCAACTCAAGATAACCCCGGGCAGGACATTAAATGATTGGCTGAAAATAGAACTGTTCAGATGAAAGGGAGGATAAATAATGCAGAAAGAATACAAAACCTCTTATGGGGATAACTAGTCACACACACGCAGGCACGCACACAAACACACAAAGAAGATTTCTATTTTTTTTTGCTCCATGGTGAAGAAAAGTGAATGGATGTAACAGGAAGGAGGAGGACCCAGTGGAGACACACATGCTTCTTGCTTCATCTCCTCCCACTCCTCCTTGTCTGCCATTTTTTTCCACTCACATTCAGACTTCATGACATACTCTGTGTCTGTGGGGAGGAATAATGTTGTCCCAGTCACGCCGTGTTTTTCCTGCCCACCAGAGATGAGACACAACACACAGTGCAGGATTTCCAGACCCGCCGCCTCATCATTTTTTCATTACTTGTGATCAGAATGCGTTCGACCTGGATGGCTGATCCTTTTACGCAGAGAGTAATGTGTCACTGTCTGACTGTGTTGTTTTTTATTCCTTTATTTGTTTAGGGTTAGATCACCAAATTAAAAAACTGTGAGTCATTTATTAAGATTTCTGGTTAGAGGGTGTTGCAATGCTGGGTCATATCTAATAAATAAAACATTCAAGACAAACCTTTTCAAAGCCCCGCTGCTGCCTGCCTAATTTACAGCTGAAATGTTTATTCATTGGCCAAATTAAACATGCATGTTTTGAGAAAAATCCAAATGTCTCTGCACCGCACAGGCTGCACAGGAGACCTCACAGGGCAGCTTTCTGCTTGTGTAGGGAGACACCTAGTGGTGAATAACACGTGTAGCGTTTGTATAGAGATAAATGGGAGATTGAGGTTGCTCTATCCTGGTTTATTAACTTGATATGTATAAAAAGATTCTTTTAGTCAGTCCATAAAATCTAAGTAACTATTTGCTGATTAATTTAGAGTGAGTTTACTGGCCAGAAAAACTCCAAAATTAGGCTCCAGTAATGCCATTTCTCCAAACTCCCCCTCTGATTTGACCCTCTGGCCTCCATCCTGGGTGAATATGCCTTTATACAAACAGAGTCATTTACAAGCTAAATGAAAAATATGTCTTGTTCTTTTAAAAAATGACCTCTGCTTATTCCATCAGCAGGACACCGCGCCCAGGGCCAAAGTGTTTACTCAACCTAAAAGAGCCTGGGAGGCCAGCAGGCCTCACAAAAGCGCCTTTCACCGGTAACAGGACCCTGGACCAACGCTGCCACGTCAAATTTTTTTGGCGCATACAGCACTGCTGCAAATGTGTTTACTTTAACTCTGTTTGGACCAAGACGACAGGGTGACATAAGCTGACACCACTGAAGAACATGTAGGACAGGCGACAACAATGGCAAGTTTGGTAGACCATTGCAGGCTCCATTGTTTAACCGGACGCATTCCTTATCTCTCCTGAATGTTAAAGTAGGACATTAAGGTGTGCCAGCCGGCTGCAGCGGACGCAGGGACGGAGGGACCACTTTTCCTGAAAAAAAGTTTTAATACAAGTGCAGCGGACAAAAAAAGGAACAAAACATCATGTGTACGAGGTTTTAAGTGTGGGGGGACTGCAGGGTGAAGGGCGTCGATGGGAGTTGTGGCTCAGTGGAGAGCAACGGGCCGCTCCACGATAACTGCGCACAGAGCAAACAGCCGCTCAGGTTCGTCCCAGCGGGAAAAATGTTGTGCACTTGTTCTCAAAAGGACCTGCTCCTCTGTGTGCGCGGCCACCGTCGGTTTCTTGTTGTTCCTGGGACTCTGCCTACTCCACCTACCGGACCCGGTCACGCTGGTACCGATGGTCTCTGAGGAGAACCGCGCGGTGACGCTCCTGATATGGACGTATCCTTTCGGTCGGTACCGCAAACTTCCGGACTGCTTTGCGCTCTATCAGATCGGCGGGTGCACGCTCACCGACGACTGGCGCGCGTACCCGGATGCGGACGCCGTGATCATCCACCACCGGGAGGTTGCCACCGGCAGCGCCGATCTACCACCGGAACCGCGGCCACGTGCGCAAAAGTGGATATGGATGAACTACGAGTCCCCCTCGCACACGTCCAGTCTGTGGCGTTTTGAGGATGTTTTCAACCTCACAATGACCTACCGGACAGACTCAGATATATTCCTGCCGTACGGGTATCTGGTCCCCAATGAACACAGAACCAGGGGTCTCCAGAACCGCTTTGCGCACCCGCTCCACACACCCCCGCGCTCACACCGCCCCCGGCCCCGCCTCCTGGCCTGGGTCATCAGCAACTGGTCGGAGTCTCATGCTCGTGTGGCCTTCTACCACCAGCTCCGCCGGTACATCCAGGTGGATGTGTTCGGCCGCGCCGGCCGGCCGTTACCAAAGGACAGCGGCGGCGGCAGCGTGGTGCGGCTGCTCGGACGTTACCACTTCTACCTGGCGCTGGAGAACTCGCAGCACACCGACTACATCACGGAGAAACTGTGGAACGCAGTGCGGGCCGGAGCCGTCCCGGTGGTCCTGGGTCCGTCCAGGCAGAACTATGAGCGCTTCCTGCCTCCAGAGGCCTTCATCCACGTGGACGACTTCCCCACAGCGCGAGAACTGGCCCGGTACCTGCTGATGCTGAGGCGCAACCCGGCCCGGCTGAGGCGGCACCTGGACTGGAGAGGGAGCTACAGCGTGCAGCAGCCCACCTTCTGGGGTGAACACTACTGCACGGCCTGCAGGGCGGTGAGGAGGACCAGAGGCAGGACTGATGTGGTCAAAGACTTGAGACGCTGGTTTCACTCGTGAAGACACCTGAAGCTGCAGAACTGAACTGATGATAAAGCTGAAAGCGTAACCAGACTCACTCCCCACCTGATGATCTTTCAAAGTTTACAACAGAAATCTATTTATAATCGACCATGATTGTTTAATTTATGACTTCAATTAGACTGTGATAACTGAGAATGATGAATTTTGACTGATTTTGATTGATTGAGTAAAGTTATTTTTCCTATGAACTCTCTCTCATTGTCATCAGTTCATGGTGTTTGTATCTGTCCTATTACAAATTATACTTTATATTTTATGTTGAGTCAAGTCATGTTGGTTTTATATGTACTGTAGAGCTTAAGTTAACACTCCATACAACATGAAAAGCACAGTATTGTTATTTTCTCTTTTACATTGTTGGGTGTGTTTTAAAGCAGCCACTGATTGCATTACACTAAGAAATTCAGCTTTCAGAGACAAGGCCTGCTTGAGATGATTGCTCCCAGTAAACGGCTAGTATAATTGTTGTCAACCTCCCCCACTTTCAACTTAAGCATCATGCAACATTATGGTGCTACAACACAACTTACTGACAAATGATGGTGATGAAGATGATAAAATGTTAACTGTGGTACAAGTTTCAGATCCATGTAAGGTGACTTTTGCACAGTACTGAAATGGAAATCAAAGGTTCATTTTCATCAAAGTTAATTAATGTATTTAGAGGGTGTATGTGTGTGTGTGTGTGTGTTTGATTCAGGGAGGAAATATAGACACCATCCCCAGAAAGTACATGAACACCTGCCTGCATATGTCTCTTACGTGTGTACCTGAGGGGTTAACACTAAATCATGTTAATCATAGCATCCCTGGATCCGATCTACTATTAGTTTAATGCCATACATGGCTGATGCTTGTGTCATAGCAGGTCACAGATCCCTAAAATAGGACTCTGAGTCCTTGATTTGTGTCTGCACATCATTAACGGGTTGATTACAACCGTGTTTGCACTCAGAGGCCTTGCTGAATGACCTTAAAGGTGTCGTTAGACCCCAAACCTCTTCTCTGACACATCTTGTTAGGAAGTGAGACAACTGTACAAACACACATAGTGTTCATTAAGTTCACACAGCTATGCCCATTTTGCTGATGTTTTTATCCCTTTATATATTGTATAGCTTAGAAAAAAGGCAAAAAAAGAGGAGGAAGGAGGTGGTTAACATGTGTGCCTGTGTTTTTTTTATAAAAAGCTTCAGGAGTCACTTGATAGGAATCAGAAGCTGTGATGTGGATCATTTAAATTTACACCTCTGTGTTAGTGCCCTGACACAGAATTAACACTTTGTGCTGTCAAATGAGACATTTCCTGCAGGCAGAGGGGCAGCGAGTAATGTTGCTCCCCTTAATGAGCTGATGCCTCAGCAGCTGTTGAAACCACTGACGTCTATCAGCAATAATGCTTTCAGACGGCCAGAACAGCCAGACCACTCATTCCTGCCATAATCCCATTCACGTACACGAGGGAGTGAAATTATATTCACTTTTTATGCTTTCAAATATAGATTGTGTCCTGAAGCTTGTTTCCGTATTGTGTCTGTATTCAAATTATCCTCCAAATAGCACATGGGAAGCATGTGGAGCATGCTGGACAGTTGACCTGGCAGTATATAAAGGGAAGGGCACTCCACTTATTGCTTCTTAAGAGCTCATCGGATCTGCAATAAAGATCCACACAATGGTAAGAGACTGTGCAAGATATCTAGTATGTTTATTGTGCTCATCATGTATTTATAGCCATTTTAATGCAGTTGTAGTTTCACAGAATAATACACACTGAATATTATTTGATTAGGAATTATATCTTCAAGAGAGAAAGGTTAAATACAACAGAAATATAATTAGCTACATGACTGTAAATTAAAAAAGGCAGCCATCCCCAACTTCTTGATGCTAAGAAGGCACATTTTTTGGTGTTTCTGCTGACTGAAGCTGGTTCTCACCTCAGTTGGTTTGACTCAAGGGAACCACCATGGACCTCCTCTCTCATCCAGCGTGTCTGTTCTGTTACAGCCGCCCACAAAAGACAAGAAGAAGGAGACAGGAGGCTCCAACATTGTTGCTATGTTTGAGCAAAACCAGATCCAGGAGTTCAAAGAGGTTAGAGGACAGATGCTGTGTGTGCAGTACATGTAGTCTCAAGACTCAATCTCCTCCTGCTATGTAGAGCTGCGCTGCCTCCTCTGGTAACCCGTGTAACTGTCCTCTGCTGGCAGGCTTTCACAATCATGGACCAGAACAGAGATGGTATCATTGATAAGACACCTTTGCTGCTCTGAGTAAGTATTTATTAGCTGTTGTTAGTCTTAAAGACATATTTGTCAGTTGTATGTTTCTATATCTCACATTTACTTGTTATCTATTTATAGTATCATTGTCATCCTATAAATGCTGTTTCACTGTCGCAATTTTCCTGTACTGATCACAGAAGAAGTTTGATGTGTTTGATGGCAGGTCGCCTTAACGTTGGTAATGATGACGAAGGAGTGTTCAGGATCCTTCAACTTCACATAATTCCTAAATATGCTTGGAGAAAAACTCAAAGGTCAGTCACCAAGGTCATAACAAATTGTGCAATTTTAGTCTTTAGTATTTTCTAATTCAGAGTTTTAGTGTTAAGTTTTCTTTACTTCACAGAAATACTTTGATTTTAATTGGATTTTAGTTTTGTTCAAAAAACAAAGTAAAATGTACACACAAATGAATAATATAATCAGTGTGTAATGATGGGTTTTATTTATTTTCTCCTATACTACACTTCAACTGTAACTTGGCTCTGACTGGGATCCCTAATGTAAAATGAATATTTAAATATTAGTTTTTAGTTTGGTTCGTGTTGTTGGTTTAAGTGAAGTTCATCATTTATTCATGCTTAGTTTCAGTCAAGGCTTTACGCTTTAAGTTGCTTTAATTGTCTCCTAAACTGAAAACTTGTCTTGAATTGTAGGAATTGCTGCATAAAAACAAACATGTCACAAAAGACACTTCAACAGCAGTCTTCATTTTCTGTTGTCAGCATCCAAATATTAAATTTGAGCCCCCCCCAAAAAACCCCCAGTAAGGACACATAAAGTATCATGTGAGGCTGAGTCAGTGTAGTGTGCATCGTGTCTACGCAGATGAGCAGTTGTTACTCGCAGCTTTACCTGTGTTTTGTCAGGAAACTGACCCAAAGGAGACGAGTCTCAACGCCTTTAAGGTCTTTGACCCAGAAGGAACAGGAGTCCTCATGGGGGAGGAGTGAGCATGTGATTCTCTCCTCAGTTCTGCACAGACACGGCAGAAATGACTCTGTGGCTTGTGATGCCTCTCACAGGAATTCATCCCTCAGATAACTATGAATTAGCTTGTAGAGCACAAAAAAATTTGAATAATTAACAAAGTTTCAGCATGCAGATAATGCATATCTTGTTCGGAGAAATACAGATCACAGGTAATTCAAAGTCAAAGAGACAATAATTCTTCTCTCTCATTCCTCTCCTGCAGGATAAAATATCAGCTCATGTCACAGGCTGACAAGTTTACAGAGGATGAGGTGAGTTGTTGCTTGGCAACAAGGTGAAATATTGGATGTATCAATATGAGATATGTGATTCAAAGGTACGGGCAGTGGCGATATCGCTGAACAAGTTGAAGGTGAGCGCTGATGAATACCCAGAATCTGAGGCAATTTCATTTGATTTAAACCCCTTAACTACCAGCTACAGCTTATTACAAAGATCCTTCTCAGCTCTCTTCCAGACCCCCTCTTTAGTAACAGTGCCATTCATAACCTACATGGCCCCTGGCTAGAGACACAGTAATCTCATTTGTACAGCAACAGATGTTTCTCTTAAAAACATCCGTTGACTGGGGAGTGAAAAGTCTGCCTCTCATTCTCGCAGGGGATCAAAGAGACCAGTCTAATCGCTATGAAATCTGTCACATTTGCACTGGTTTGAGGAGACATATTGACTTACAGTAGGCTTACAATGTTGTGAAACGTAAACGCTCTACTTCTCCGTCCCTCTCGCTCAGCCTACACATGTTTTATGAGGAAGCTTTCATGTTCTTTACATCAAAAGGCCACGCAGAGGGGAGGGGAGAAGAGAGGGGGAAAATGCATATGAAACAACAAAACCCCAAGACAAATAAACAACACAGTGTTCCCATGGCAGCGCGGTGCAGTAATCTGACGGCTGGTTTCCCATGGCTGTGTCTCACTGCCCCATAGACCTCCACTCTGTCTCACTGATGGCTCCTGTGATTGCAATCATCCATCTTACTGTCAAAGGAGAAAAAAAAAGGGCAAGAAAGGGGAAATCACACACACCATCTCTCTCTCGCTCCCTTGTGTCCAGCAAACAAGCCACCCCACTGTGAGCAGAGCCAACACATGGACCACAGGCCCTCTGCATTGTGTTTATGTGTATGAGTGTGTGTGTGTGCCCATGCTTATATGATCTACAGAGAGAACATGTGTGGGTGTGCATCTTTGGTTGTCTGTGCCTGCCCATTATACTGCATGATCAGTCACTGGAGTGTACACGGGGGAGCTGTGGACATGTCTGATCTTGCAGCTGATCAAAAGCACCAGAGACTTGTTCCCTTGTGGCCGATGCAAGCGGGCCTCATATCAACATGTCTCTGTTCAGTAGACAGGAAAAACAAGAGGAGAGAAACAGGCAGCGGAGGAGGGGGAGGAGGGGAGTGGGTACATCAGGAGGAAACAGGCAGGCAAAGCATAGATGAAAGAGTGCACAAAGAGGCCAGAGTGGAATATATGACAATGATACATAACTGCACTTATCTCCCCGTTCTGATGAGCTAATTGAATGGCAAAAGCCAGCTCTGTGTCTGTCTGTAAATGTAATATGTGTGATCCGGCTCTGAAAACCTGACAGCTCTTCTCGTCACAAGTAAAGAAAAGTGCAATAAACACTTCACCTGTTTGCTTACAGGTAAATCAGATGTTTACAAACTTCCCTCTGGATGTCGCTGGTAACCTTGACTACAAGAACTTGCGTTGTGTGATCACCCACGGAGAGGACAAAGAGCAGGAGTAAAAAAGAGGAGAAGAAACAGACGGATGAAAAAAAGAGGTATAGGGAGGAGCAGTGGCAGCGAAGCTACTGCCTGTAAATAGTCTCGCTACGTTGTGAATTTGTGGTGTACAGCATGTGTAAATGCAATTATGTGCAATAAAGTGGTGACTCCATGAAATGAATCCCTTTGTTGTTGTGACTTTAATCTCACTTCAATAAAGGAACACAGGTGAGCATAATGTCTCGCAAATTAAACAACAAAGCACACCTGGACATTGTATAGTATAAAAGATAATGAAACATGCACAAGACACAACAAAACAGCTGTATTTAAAAGATAGGCCTGCCTGGGAAGATGCAACCTTCTGTAACATAAGATAACTAATCAGAGTCTGAACAGCAGATACCGGCAGGTTCATCTCTCTTCTGCTGCTAATAATTAAAGGAATGGTTTGACATTTTGGGAAACACGCTTATTTAGTTTTTCTTTTTGAGAGTTAGATGAGAAGAAGGATGCTGCTCAAATGGTAAGATTAAAGCTAGTTCGCTTAGCTTAGCACAAACACTGGAAATAGGCAGAAACAGCTAGCATGGCTCTGTCTGAAGCTAACAATGCTCCCTTGTTACACCAGATAATTATTTTAAATTTGGTTATCTTGCAGTGTTACATATTTGTAGTGATTTTATTCAGATGTATTCAGCAATGGTGGCTTTGCAGTCATTTTCCAAAGGTTTGACATTTCTGTAGTTTTTTTCAACAGGTGGGAAAAGTTGCTGTCAGAAATCCCCCCAAAATCAGAGGCTGACATATTTTTTTCTACTTCACTGCTCATAATGTGAGTCTGAACACTATAACTATAAGCGCAGCATTGTTGTCACCATGAGGTTGCAAGTGCTGTTAGGAGGATTTTTGTTTGAGCAAGACCAGCTGTTTCCACTTGTTTTCAGTCTTTACATGAGAGCGCTATCGATATTCTCATCTACCCTGGCAAGAGAGCGATAATAAGAGCAATAATTTTGGGATAAGCTTATATCCCGAAATGCTAAATTACTCCTTTTACATATGAACCTACCAGACATGGTCAAAGCTTTATTCAGAGACCAGCAGGCTTGGTCTCTCAGAGACTCATTAGGCCTAAACAATAATGATATCAGTTTGGAAACAGATCTCAGAGGCAGTTTGTGAAGAAGTCAACGTAGTCCAGTCCCATTTAGTGCTCCATCAGCCAGTCGCGTGAAGGTGCACTGGAGCCGAGCAGGGTGCACGGTTTCCAGGCCAAAACTAAACTGTTTCAGTATTTCTTCCGTTTGCTTTCCAGATGTGCGCTCTCCAGATGCTATTCATTTCACCTAACTTTATTTTAAGCAGATTTTCTTGGCAGCCTGTCATGTCTTACCTCAGTTTTAACAACGCTGAGCAACCAGAGAAAGACAGAAAGAAGAGAAAGTAAGAAATATGTTTGACAGGCTAACACGAGATGAATCTCAAGGTCGTTCCAAAAATGTGTTTGACACTAAATAGTATATTTTGGGTCCGGCTCTCTGGAACTCACATTGCAGCCTGCGGAGCTTTGCAACATCAGCCAAGGAGACTGATGTGTTTACTAGGCAGTCTTTTATCTGAGGAAAGAAAGATGCCAAAACCTTCATAACACTTTATGAGATTATATTTCATTGTACAACACTGTACAAGTGCTGCTGCAGGTTATGTAGGATTGTACAGCAACAGGGTCAAAAAGGCTACAAAAAAGCCTTTCATGTGGATGAAATGCTCAACATTTCATGTCTGCAAAGAGCTTTGTTTTTACAGCTGCACTCATTTGTGACAAAAAAGTGACAATAATAGTTGACAATAATTGTAATAATAAAGGTACGAGAAACATGATTTAAACAAAAATCTGCCACATCCATCAAAATTATACACATACATACAAATTTAGACTATACTCTTAAAGAGGAGCTCGTCTGTGTCTCTCCTCCAGCACCGGAGGGCTTTGAACAGGCTGAAGGCGCTTGATCTTTCTGGCAGGGAAAGTCAGGGGGTCCAAAATGCTGCCAAATCCAGATCCTTCAGAGTTGTCTGCGTAAAGACATGAAAGACAGAAAAACAATCATCCGAATGAACTACTGTTCTTCAAATACTGCTTTAAAAGAATTGTTTGACATTTTGGAAAAATATGCTCACTCTCTGGAGCAGAGTTAGAGGAGAAGATGGATACCACTCTCATGCCTGTTCATTAAATATGAAGTTAGAGTCAGCAGACTGGAAACGGCTCACCTGGCTCGAAGGTAACAAAATCCTCCTACCAGCACAACTAGAGCTCACTAATTAACACATTAACGTGTGTACAATCTGTATAAACACAGAAGAGTAAAAACAACATTTATGTGCCGGAATATTTATTGGCAGTAAGGTCCTGGTTGCCTGGTAACTGCTCAGAGCCAAGAAACAGTCCATCGCAAAAAAACCCCATAAAATGCCAAATTTGTTTGTACGTTTTTTTACAGATTAAACAAATGAGATCTAACATGTAGAGCGCTGACAGATGGATTCTGTTACCTTTTACCTATTTTTCCCCTGGTTTCCAGTGCTAACCTAACTGTTGCTATATCTAACAGACAAACTTGAGAGCAGTGTCAATCTTCCCATCTAACGCTCTGCCAGAGAGCAATTAAGCACATTTCCCCAAAATGTCAAACTATACCTTTTAACATAACGATTCTGAGGCCTGGAAAAATGTTTTCCCACACCACTGTTCTTGTTTTTCTCCTCACCGTGAATGCCAATCATGTGCTCCAGGATCAGGACCCTCTCTGCCAGGATCTTCAGGGCCTCCCTGAGCTGCTGCACAGCCTCGCCCTGAATAACACCATCATGTTCCTTTAAGACAATTTTTCAAATGAGCTCAGGAGGAATAGATATTAACGTCTTACCTCATTCAAGCCTTCTCCTGGCTCTCCTTTTGGCCCTGGTGCTCCCTGTCAAAACACAGTAAAATAATCTTGTAATCTGTGTTGTATGTGTGTTTTATGCAGCACAATAACCTCATACTTACAGGTAGGCCCTGCTCGCCTGTTATACCTGGAAACCCCTGGTAGAGACAGAACAGAGAGGAATAATTTAGGACTCCTGCTCACACAAACATTTCACCGGCTTGCATTCTTTATCCTCCGTGCTAATCTGCCTCTTCACCAGATCTCCAATCTTAAATCATGCTAGTAGAGGAAGGGGATCAGGTTTAAAGACAGAGGCCCACTAGAGAGCCGGATAAAAGAGGGGACCCGACAGGGCTGCCCTGATTAGTGAGGCCTGGCCTTGGACGAAGGAGAGAGAGAGAGAGAGAAGAGGATTAGTCACGGCCTGGACTGCGTCTTTGAAGAAAAGCTTGTTCACCTTTAATGTGTTTAAGATTGCATGACAGCTAGGACCATTTACAAACTGTAGAACAAAAAGCATTTTGATAGTTCATCACATTCAAATAAGCCAGCTTGTTAATCCAATAATGAGGACGGTTTTTAAAGCAGCCTCACCCTCTCCCCTGGATCTCCTTTAGGCCCAGGATCCCCAGGCTTGCCTTGGAGGCCTTCCTTGCCCTTAAGTCAGCAAAACAGAAGGGCATGCATTAATGAGGCTAGTCATTAATTCATATTTTTATTGATCAACTGATATGGATACTCACATCTTGTCCCGGCAGGCCTGGTATCCCTGCAGATCCTCTCAGTCCTGGAGGGCCTGTAGTGTCATTCATAAAAATAAAAAAATAACTCATAAGAGGGATGGATGTTGAAGTGTTTAAGTTTGGCTTTGACTATTGTGCAATGTCAAAATTAAATTCAGTCAATTTAACACAGTTTGATTTAATTCAGAAATTACATTGTCCTGTGAGAGAGATTTGTCAGGGTTTGCAAAATAAACACGATTAACCAGTTCTGTCCAATCTGTCTTTCGCTTAATATTTCCCTTAAATTTGGGTTTTATTGAATAAGGCTCATATAGTAAAATGTTCAAATTCAAAACATCACTTTATTGTTGCTACACAATTACATCAAACAGCTAATATTCGTACCTGAGGGGCCAATGGGACCAGTTGGACCAGTTGGACCAGGAGGCCCGACTACAATCTGAGGAGCTGGGAGAGCTTCACGGTCCGGGGTCTCCTCTGGGAAAAACAAAGACAGAAGTTTCAATGGACAGTTTAGTTTAACCTTTGCATAAAAGATAATTGAGACTTTAATGACTTAAAAAGAGGTACCCAAAATACTTTCACTAAATTCTTTTAACTTTTCTTTGGGAGTCAGCAGACACACACATTAAATTAATAATCTATTTCCTGTTGTAAATGACTTACAATTAAACTAGATTTTTATTCATGCTTTCATTGAGCATCACTGTTCACACTAACTGAAGTGACTCCATTGTTTTATTTGTGCTTTGCGGGACAGAAATGTTGGAGAAAGTTTTATTCAGAAGTTCTTTACAATATAAACATACCAAAAGAAAAAATGGTTTCAGTTTACAAAATGTTAATGGTGTATATTTGTCTTTCTTTTGGCACTGCTGGTGAGCAAAAACAATTCTCTGATAAACTCCCCTCTGTCTCACCCATACACCAATGCATGAACAGCTCTAAATACAGACTTAAAAGCACCAACAAGAAAAAAAAGGACACACTAGGACTTGATAACTCAAGTCACACTCAAAAGGTGGCCACGGATGCATGTGACCATGTAGTGTAGTGTGAAAGCACCCATTTAAGTCTTGAATAGAGTTCCTAAACCTATAAGACATTGCTATATGTGGTCACTCATGATGCATTTGAAAAACCTGAATCTGAAGATACTACATCTGCCTCTGCTGCAGTTACAGACGTTTGTTTGGATTTCCAATATACGGTTAAAAAAAGCTGTTTGCTGTATCCATTCAAATGCCTTTGTCAGTGGTGTAGTACAGGGTATACACAGAGTAAACCTACTTCTAAATCCCCTCTGATGCACATCATTCAGAAGTGTTCTGCACGACATAGTTGTCCAAGAGTAAGACATCTTCTTCTCTTCGGTGGCTAATATTAATTTCATTATGGTGGTTACTCCCTGAAGTCAAGCCGCAGAAGTTAAGGGACAATGTGCAGATACTACTGGCCCATTTTTGGGTGAACTAAATATGAAAAAGTAGTCTTACATGTCACTTTTTATAACACAGGACATCCCTTGCTCCCATATCCCTTGCTGGATGGGCCTCTTAAAAACAAGGTCATAAATTAAGAGTATACCCACTTCTTAATGCACCGCTACACCACTAACCTATGTATACCATTGTGGTTTCAAACAGTGTAAACCTCAGGGGGTAGGATCCCTTTTTCAACCTGACAGACGAGTTAAGACATCAAGGGTCACCAGTCAGGCTACAGAGTTTCATCAGCAGTCAACAGTAGGATTAAGTCCAGTGTGATCGACATGAACAGCTGGTCGATCTAAAAGAGGTCCCATTTAATGGAGCAGTAAATGCTTGCACATGATCTCTCTTCATAGAAAACATTCAGGAGGTGGAAGTGTTGCCTTGTTCTCAGCATGTAGGTTATTTCATAGTATGCTTGTAAGTATAAATTTTGTTTGCAACCACACTTCCACTTCCTCTCTTTAACATATGCTCAGAATCAGTCTTCCCCCGTGTTGGGACAACGCTGTTACATTATGGCTACAATCCACAGAAAGGGTCTAGAAGGAACAGATTTCCCTCTGGAACTAATTTTCTAATGTTACAGTCTCCTCGAGCCTGGCTGCCTCCCCAAGAAACTCCACATGAGTGGCAGACTATCTCCCTCCCTCGCTCATAGCTAGCCCAGATTTTGGCTCTGGGCCGTGGCCTGTTCCCCCAAACGCAGACTGTTGTGCTGACAGCTAACAAATTAGGCCTGATTTACAGCCAGTTGGCCCCCCTCAGCTTACATGGTCCCACAGACCCAAATCTACATAGTTCCAGACCCGCAGACACAGTCCCGGGCTCAGAAAGGCAGACGCAGCCAAAAGCCTAATCGGAGCCAGCAGTCCTCATGAGGTAATGATTATAGCATGGACTTCTAGTGCCTCCCTGTGGTGAAACATTGCTTTTAAATGTGACAGATCTGACTTTTGCACAGGGTCCTTTTCATCTATCTTGTGTATTTCAAAAGATATAAAGATTTTAAAGTTTCAAACATCGAGCAAAACATCATTTCCATGTTTAACACATGTTTAACATTTGATGGCACAATCTTTGTGGGGAGAAGACAAAGAAATGAAGCTGCATAAAAGTGGATAAGAAAGATAATAATTGAGTCAGTCTTTTTAAAACCACCTGAGGTATTTTGGTGATTTATATGCGGGTGTTTGGCTCTATTGTTGGTGGTGGTGCTAAAAGAGGTTGCAGTAAACAGTGGCTCAGCAGCAGCAAAACACACGGAAACAATTAAACTAAATCTAAGCCAGCCCTTTGCTGCAAAGAAACAATACTCTCTCCACTACAAATGTAAGTCCTCCACTAAAAGCAAAAGACTTTAAGATATTGCTCACTTAAAACACTTGGTAACAGCTGCAGTCTCTGTGCTTCCACCTGTGCCCCCCTTTTAAACCATCTTTATACATAGAAATCTGGCTGGTTTTCATTTTCTGCCTGACAAAATGATTGCAAAAGGAACAACATGATGAACATAATGCATAAGATATGAAAGTGCTTAAAACTGGTACTCATTGTAGGATCAACTGTGAAAATAGACCTCTGGTTTTGGCATCATTTCAGACCATCCAAATACTGAATGCTTGAATGGTTTTACAATTATTCAACCGTGTGTGTGTGAGATCTGCTTCTATTAGGTTCTCATTTGAGGCCATCTGGGACAATTTAGGCCTAATAACTGAAAAAGAGTGAATTTTAAAAGGTGGAATTGTTCACTTACCTTGATTGTACACATGAAAAACGTCACCCCGCTCTCGGATAGGAGAGAAGCTCGGCCCTGGAGGACCTGGTGGACCAGGAAGGCCGGGGAGACCTATTTCTCCTGGCAGACCTATTTCTCCTGGCAGACCTCTGTCCCCCTTTGGTCCTGAGCACACAAATGATGAATCAGTCATATTAAACAAGCATTCTGTCAATTGTGAGAGTTTTTTCCACTAATCCTCACAATTGTCCTCAAACCATCTTAAAATGACTGGAAGATCTCGTCATCATATTTTACCGACGGGTCCAGGCAGGCCTGCTCTTCCAGCCGGACCTGCAGGTCCAGCTGCACCCGGAAGCCCTGGTGGTCCGATGGGTCCTGGAGGCCCTCTTCCTCCTGGTTCTCCGAAGAAAAAAAGAGATCAGTTTACTTGTCAAGAGGACCTGAGGACAGTTGTGTTATGTCCTCTGCAGCTCTGGAGCTTCCAACAGTTGTCATCAGGGATATTTCAGCAGAGCGTACACTGTACGATTTGAGCCTGTTTCTGACACAATTTTGAGCCGCACAACTAATTTTAGAGTTGGAACAAATTTCAGCTTCATTGGGCGTCGTTTGCTGTGTAGTGTACAAGGGGGAGCGAGGGCGAGGGTCGTACAGTAGGAGTTCGAAACTTTTCTAAAACCGCACAGTCTATGCCCAGCTTTAGATGTAACAAGACAAACCGGAGGTATGGCGATTGAAAGAAGTGGATATTTGGAACAAAGTGACCACCCCAAACCTTTATAAAAGACACTATTGATTTGCATTATGGGAAATGTAGGATCTAGCATTTTTGTAGCTTGTAGCTGCCTCTGTGGCTTCAATTTATACCTTTGTTTTGGTTGTTGTTTTAAATGTATCTCTCACAAGTCCCCCAACTTTATGGAAGTGCAATACTAAATTACTAGAGTACCCCTTTACCTCCCTGCTGCATCTCAGCATCTCATCAAAGTACTGAAGAAGTGAAAAATAAACATAATTTCCAAACATCCACCAAACATGAGCGGCATAATCCAATAATCTATCATCCATCTAATCTGTGTTCTATCTGAAGCTAAATGGACAAACTGTGGGATGAAAGTAGAATTTTTGTTTTTAAAGTTGTGTTAACCCTCTCTGGAACAAGCATGATGAGCCAAATAAAGCCATTGAAGATGTAAATGTTGGACTTGGTTGCTTAATAAATGTTTTTCCAACAAACTTTATTGGAGTTTTGACCTAAATAACAGAGAACTATTCCTTTAATCATCTCTGATTGAAACTGTGCATTTCATTTAAATAGACAAAATGCCATGTGCATTTCAGAAATAATTTTTTCGTGTTGGCACCTGGTGGCAGATATGATGGCGGGGCAATAGGAGTGGGTTGGGGTACGTCCACCTCGTTGTCTGTTGAGCCCTCTGGTAAACTGCTGGCAGTCGGTAGGGATGATCGCCCCTCTTCTAACAGCTTGATCTGTAACAAACGCAATAGATTTCAGACAAATCTGCACTCTGGTAAAGTCATCTTGTACAAATGCTTACAAACTCATGCCTTCAAAATAAGACAGACTAGTAAGGATGGATCAGAGGGATCGTCTTTACCTTTGATTCAATGGCATTTATTCTGCTGTTCATGTCAGTGAAACTGGTACAGTTCAAACACTCTGTAAGAAAGAAGAGACAGACAAGGATGAGTTTAGTTCCCACATTACAGCAGGCACACATGCTGCTTCTCCTCCATCTGTCTTTTCCTTTCTCTCAGCCCCTGCCTCATCTCTTTCATCCATGTTTCTTTTTTCATCCTGGCACCATCAGTAGTAACCTCCTATCTCACGCTGAGCAGGTCAATCCAAAATACACAAGAACAATGTCCATCAAACCAGACCGAAGAATTTATTAGGAATTCCTCCTTAAATCATGTCACTCACTCACAGAATAAATATTATTAGACCTCTCATAAAATCCTCTCTCTTGCTGACACACTCTGTCTCTCTGTCTTACACTTTCCCTCTCTCACACACACACACACACACACACAGGCCTGGCACACACCTGCTTGTCTACTGGCTCTGCATGTTTTCTGTCTGTCTGCCCACTCACAGGGATGGCCTGTATGCCCGCACTCACATCCTCCTCCAGATACCAAAACCATTAACTGTGTGTAGCACATGGTAACGCAAACAAACACACATTTACACACACACACACACACCCACACATACTTTCACTGCCATTTCCTAATGAAAAATGTGACTTCAAGACACAATATATTCTGTTTAATTTACCTAACGAAAAATGTAACAAAAACAAATAATTGATACAAATAAACAGTTTGTGTAGCCAAAGCTTAATATATCAAATTCCTCTGTGCCACATTGTACAAAAACGGTCAATGAGCGAACATGGTGGAGCCAGACCATTTTAATAGGGGCAGCCAGGCTGAGGCCAGTACTTATCCATTGTTGGTTTTGGTCTTTTTAAAGCATTTGTTTACAATAACCAAAATATTGAATAATGCCAGACTTATCCTTTAACAAACAGTGTTAACACTTGGGCGGAAAAGGGCACATTTTGCTTATTTTCTTCTGGTTTCTTGTATTCATTTTTGCTGTCGGCAGCAGCAAAATATTTATGTTCATGTGCCTTATTGAAATTCTTGTTTGCCAGTTATGTTATCTTCAGTCTGTTTTGAACACCCGCCATCTCTGTCACAAATTATAACATTCTAGCTACCACTAAACCGCATATACCTATACGTTCCCTGCTGTGCTGCAATTTTGGATACTTTACAGGCGCTGTAATCCAAAATCCAGAACACAGCCAAGCACAGTTTCATAGAAAACCCCAGTATTTGTTCTAAATCTGAGCCGTCCTCTGGTCTACGGCTCATAAGAAGTCTGGAATGTCAGCTGTCAGTCCCACAGACGGGACCCACCCACATTGTGGTCATAGCAGGGATATGTAAAACAAGGAACAACTGGAGCTCATAAATAACGCGACAACAGAAATGACCCAAACTGCTCTGGTTTGCCTAAATCATCGTCTCTGACCACAGCACACAGGGCACTGATGGCAGCAGCTGAGGTTTCTGCTTCACTGAAATAGGACAGGGTGAATGTCTGTACCATGTCTGCATGTCTGTGTCTACAGTCATGTACATCCAGTCCGGTGGTGTATCGGACTGCGTGGGTGTGGTTTCTCAATGCCTCATTTCAACATCTCGAATCTGGCTCTGGAGCGCAGCCACAAACGGAAACAACAATCAACAGCTCAACCCAAAACACATTCCTCAGAATTCATCAACCCAAATACTGAGAGCTGTTCAACCGCAAGGCCAATATGACCCCACATGAGCAGACTGTTTTGACTGACTGCACTGAGGTTTCCTCAGTGACTACACCAAGGACATCAAAGCCACACACAGCACAACAGCAAGACTGTGGGCAATCATGGGCTCCACAATGTGAGAAGACCGATGAGATACGCCTTTATCTCCTCCACAGTTATTCATCACCAGCCCAGAGGAAGTCTCCACCCTCTGACACTCTTTCTTATATACAGTACATCAATCTGTGATGCATTCCAAGAGTTATTTTATGATGATGTTGTGACATTTAGTTTTTAGCCACGCTCGCGGTGTGGCTCTGGGAATTGCAACGTTGGTCAGAAGATCCACCACTTTGGTCCAGACTGAAATATCTCAACAACTATTCAAATAATTGTCATGCAATGTTGTACAGACATTCACTGTTCCCAAAAGAGGAATCCTAATGGTGATCCTCTGTCATATTCGTAGGTTTGAGTCAAACGTCTCGATAAATGTTGGATGGATTGTTATGAATTTTGGTACTTTGGACCAAACTCTGGTGATCCCTTAACTTTCCTCCAGCACCATCATCAGGTCAAAATGTCACCTGGTGTATTTATAGGCTACGATGGTTTATGAAAAAATACTTGCAAAACTTAAGACATTATCATCAGTCTCAATACTCCTTCTTCCAGATTATGTTCCAGAAGCAAGAAAACCTCTGAAAATCACACTGACATTTATAAAGATAAAAATAACAAAAAATCTAGCTTTGGAACATAACCGTACTCAACAGTATGTCGCGTGATTCACTCCAAATGAATAGATAAGGATGGTATTTCTAAAAGAAAATTATCTAATATCGTTATTGACTCAATAGTTCTGTTTTTAGCAGCCTTTAAGGAGCGCCTTCTCCCATAAGACCTAGACCATCGCGTCACAGCTCGCCAACAGACAATGGGTGAGTCAGGGAGCGCTAGTTCAGACATGTCTGTAGAAACAGCAGGACAACTGTATAGACGTTTTAAACAGCAGAGATTACAGCAAAAAAGTTGAGGAAATGACTTTAGAAGAGAGATATTATATTTGGACAAAACCAAGTGATAATGGCGTAAGTCCGTGCTCTGTTTCACTGGTACATAGTAGTTTTTCTATGTTTACAAAGTATAACTTTTGTAAGGGTTTGATAGCCAAGTGCTGAAGTTAATGCCAATTTGTCTTAGAATATGGGAACAGGCTTATTTTGTTAGGAACGACCCACTGAAAGAAATACTCTCATCCACTCTCTACATGCTAAACAACAGCATGTTAGCATTTCACTCAAACACCATTGCTATGCCTAATGTCAGCCTCACAGAGTGGCTACAACTCAGTCTTTTGACAAGGTTCAGAGAACTCAGTAGAGAGTTTGATGGTGACATGGTACTTTCACTCAAAATGCATCAGGTCTAGTAGCTGCTTTGCCGTATGATAAACTGAAAACGAAACGAAGCGTCCATGATGGTTTTCTGCTCCTCAGACACTAAAATAAGGCTAGTCCAGGTACACTCTTCAGTGCTAATGAGTGAACTTGTTCAATCTTCATCTGTTGTCCAACGAGAGCTAGAAATAAACAAGCCATATCTATTATGTCATAAACACACACCACAGGAAACACCACCACTGAGTCAATCTACCATAAATGTGAACCAGAGCAAAACAACTGGGTTTTTTTAATTTCTAAAGGTGGAGGGCGGGATTTCCTTCCTGCCATTGGAATTTAATTATGTTGGGTTAGAAAACCAAACTTCCGCTGTGCTCGAGCTGATGTTTAGAACAGGACCGCAGCTACAGAGCCTGTTTGGATCCATAATTACACCATGGCAACATAAGACAGGGTTATTTTTCTTGGATTGTACTCAGTTCATGGGAAAGATTCAGAATTGTGTTGTTTTTAGTGGTAAGCCAAATAAACAGAGAAAATTGGGAACTTTTTCTGCTCCAACGAGAAGAGGAGGGAGGATTTTTATGTCTGAGCAGTTTTTTTAATACTCAACTTGTCAGATAGTACTGGAGATTAACTGAAAATTAGGCCAAGATTAGCATTTTGTCAATAAAAGGAGCCTTTTAAAAATTGTGTTTATAGGAAAGACATAGCAAATGCAATGTTACAAAAACAAGTGAAAAAGATTTCAAATGACCACAGACACAGATAACTTTAATCACATAAAATGCAATTAATAAAAATATCAGATTGCTGGGTAATGCAGCATGCAAATGGATTACATGTCCACAAATAATATGATACGGAAGCAAAGCTGACGTGATAAGCTCAATTGTTAAGTCTGGCGATGAGAGACTTGAGCAGACTGGCTGCTTGGATCAAACTCCCTCCAGGCAAAGCACAGAGAGTAAATAAGATTAGGAACTCTTGGAAGATAAATCTTCATTTAAACATCCGAGGAACCAAAACAAAGAGCATATTTCATCTCAGCAAACTACAAAAACACTGAACAGTTTAGTGAATCATCCCTTCCATTATTGTACTGATCAACAGCACAAGACAGCATAGGATACTCTGGCAAGAGTGTAAGTCAGACTGTGGGCATCGTCTGTTGAGACAGCTACATTTCCTACATTAGACCTGGATATAGATCAAAGAAATCCCTCCGTTCCTTGCAGTTTTTTTTGCACACAAACACACAAAAAACCTAAACCACAAAACAAACCATGACGCACACAGCTGGGGACAGTCATTTTCATTGCCACTAAATACTTGTGCTTTCTGTTTGTGTGAGCAGGACAGAAGGATGATGTATTGAAACATCTTCTTGGACCATCTTAAGAGTTGCTGTCACATCCCCAAGATACACAGACAAGTAAGTGTGTGCCCAGTCTGTACGCTCTCTGTGTATGTGTGTGTGTG